CTGTCTCCCCCTTGTCCATCACAGCGACTCCACTGAGCCCCTTTCTCGGATCTGACCTGCTCTGTGTGAATCCTCCACGATCTGTAATGAATGCGATGCACTTATTTTCCTGTCTATCACGTCCCTTGATTTGAATGTCCATTGAACTTTGCTCTGTGTTTTCACATGTCACTTAAGTCAGGTGCCCCCTTCCTCCGGGCTTGGAGCCCTAAGGGAGCAGCTCTTTCCCATTCCTACAGCTGAACTCTTTCTGCCACGCCTCTGAGGGAAAATCAATATTGTCTGCATGTTAAGCCATTTCTATATTCCTAACATCTCGAATATTTCTTACATTAAAATATCCCTACATCTGTTTACTATAAACTTTTTCACTTAAGCATATGATGCAAAATATTTAACTTACATTTTTACAAAATGCAAGAGAAATAGCCTTGTTGCTATATGATTTAATAAGCATGTTCATATGATGTATTGTTTTAGAACTTGGAGGTCATCTTTTTTGCAATCTCTAATTCTGCCCAAAGAATTCTATCAAGAAATTTTTTTTCAACAATGACCTCACTACCAACACAATGGATCCATTCAGCCATTTTCCGAGTGCACCAACTAGGTGTTTTGATCCATAAACACGCAGACAGTTACATTTTCCTGTTTCCATCTGGTGCCTGACCGAGTGTGTACAGAGCCCTAGTGAGCACACCCTGTTTGAGACCTCGATTATTTCTTCATGCAGTGGGCACAAGAAGGAGCCTTTTTAACTCTTGTGTGCACTAGGAGAGCACCATTTAATAGTGTGCTCCCCACCTGGGGGTTATATTACCCCCCCATCTGGAGATTTGGAAAGTGGAGGTGGCATATTTAGGTGTCACAGTAAATGACATCTGCTACTGAAATTTAGTGTCTGGGGATCAGGAATGGTGACTTCCCACAACGCGGAGAACTGTCCCACACGATGGAGAAGTGTCCAGTTCAAAACACCAACTGTGCCCTTTGATGAAACTGATTTAGTGGAGTGTAGCCTGTATCAGTGAGGACTCTTAGTTGCAAACAACAGAATGAACTTTAGCTAGTTTAAGAGAAAATGGAACTTTAAAGGATAGTCAGTAGTTCACAGAATCCCCAGCGAGTGCAGAGAATCAGCCTGGATGGCCAGGCAGCAAAAATGCCCCATGACACCGCCAGCAGCGCCAGGGGAACCTTGTTGGCAGGTACTCCCCGTGCCAGCCTGCACCACCTGCAGGGGGTGGGGAACCCCAGAGAACACCTTCCCGGGAATGGACTGATCACAGGCAGGGTCTCCCTCTTGCTTGGTCTCTAAACTCCAGTGACAAAGAAAATGGAGAAGGTGAGTTCCTGGCCTGTAGCTCGGGGCCTCTATCCTGGGGGAGCAGGGATCACAAGGTAGGGAGTTCCCCCAACATAGGAAGGGTTTTCAAAAGATGCTGGGCAGTCACTAAGCATGACAAGTGTCCAGGAAATCATTAAAAGCCCTCATCACATTCCTCTCCACAAAGACACTTTCCAAGTGTGGACCTGATAAAAATAGCTTCCAAATTTGTCTTCCAGAATCTTAAAAAAACATACTCAGTGTCTCCCTACTTTGCACATTCATTCTATTTTCTCTACTTCCATTTCCATATCAGATGCTTTTCGGATGGAGCGCACATAGCACTTCTGCTTCTTTCCTCAGCACTGCAATGCCTATCCAGCCGTAAGACTCATTTCTTTGTCCTCTTAGCTCCCACACCTTCTACATCCCACCTAGTGTTTACAAAAATATTTTAAATTATGGGTAAGATAACATTCATGTGGTTTAAAAAAATAAGCGAAGAAACTACAGTGCTCTTTGGTTCAAAGACATACTCACGACGACACGGCGCCCACGCGTTTGTGGGCAGGAAGCGTAGGGCGGAATCCCGAGCGCCGCGCCAATCCGCGCTGCAGTTACTGAACAATGAGAGCGCCGTACACCCTACAGGTGCTTAAGCTGCCAGGACTGTGAGCAGAGGGGTCAGAAAATATAACACAAGTATACGGGACAGTGTCACAAGATACGGACTTTTCAAATATAATTTGAACCACTGAAGGGAAAGGAGCATTACTTTACTGGAAGCAATGAGTTGATTTTTCAGTTTTATTGTTCCTATCTTTGATGGGGCAATAGAACTTCAAGGCCTTCCACTGAGTGACTAATGATGGGATAGGTAGAGGAATAAATATTGCAGTTTACATCTTAAATGATCATTAAGTGGCCTGAATTTATCAGTTACATTTAATGCTGTAAATAAGGCATCTTGTGTATGTTACACTAGAGATATTAACACCTTCCCCCAGATCTCAAATTACCTTATTATTCCCCGAACATTGATCTGCGCTGTGAACAGTGAAGAGGAAAGAAGTGCTACGGACAGTGGCCCGCACCTGAACCCCACTGACTCAGGGCGGGCTGCTCTAATGCTCGGTTTTACTGCGAATGAAATAATACTGTGTTGCCTTGTCAGTGTGTGCAAGACCATCCAACTCACATCAGGACTTGAGAACTTTTTTTTTTTAAGTAGACTGCATTTATTTTCTTTTTAATGTGAATTCTCTCTACCTGGAAAAGACCCGAACTCAGGAATGCATCTACAATTTGTTCAAGATAAAACTATTGGGAATGAGACTTGAAAAGAATAAAAACAGTGGATGATGATAGAGTATTCTATTCATTCATCAGTTTACATTGGAGATACTATAGGTTTTCAGTCTTTAATGATAAAATGGAATAACTTATTAATTTGTTACATAATGTGGTAGCTGGTTCATGTATCTGTGATCAAGTGCAGAGGTGCAAACATCTAATTGGTCATACGCCTGAAATAACATCTAGAATACAAAGCCAAACGGCTTTAATACCTCCTTATGGGAACAGCTGGCTGCTGGGATGACTGGTACATTTGAGGTTTTGGAGTGAACAGTTTGAATCTTAAGTGTGCTCTTGATATAAATCTAGTATATCTCAAAGGCCTATAGTTAGTTTAGGCTTAGAAGATTAATACAATAATAATCTAAAATTCAGTAAAGTAGGACCAAGTTCAAAGCTGACGGAATCTTGTTCAGCTGTTGGAAATATTTTTTTTTATTCCTTAAAATATTCATATGGGCCCTGGCTGGTGTAGCTCAGTGGATTGAGCACAGGCTGTGAACCAGAGGGTCACTGGTTCGATTCCCATTCAGGGCACATGCCTGGGTGGCAGGCCAGGTCCCCAGTGGGGGGCAGGTGAGAGGCAGCCACACATTGATGTTTCTCTCCCTCTCTTTCTCCCTCTTTCTGAAAATAAATAAATAAAATCTTTGAAAATATATTCATATAGGATCTACTATTTTTTCAGTGACTAAAAATATTGAAATCTGGTTATAAATGTGAACATGTGCCATTGAGGTTTCCCTGCATGGAAGTGACACCAACACAATATGGCACGATATAAAGTCTTCTAGAATTCCTACTGTTGTTGACAACAGACTCACTGAGAGAGGCCCAGTTAAGAAGGCCTCACACCTGAGTAACTAGCTAGGACAGTGGCATCGGCACAAGCAGTGTCTCGGCATAGACACAAAGAGTCTGGAATCTTTGGAAATCACCCAGCCTAACTGTGTCACACAATAGGGAGCGGAAGCCCAAAAGAGTAAATTGGTTTGCTCAAGATCACTTACTCGTCAGAGGTAGACCCAGGTCTAGAAACCACAGTCTTCCCCTTGGACCAGACCAGTGCTCTTGCCCCAAGCACACAGCCTCAGGGTCAGGAGGCAAGCCTTCACAGCACACAGTGCCAAATGGGGACAACATATTCTGACTGTGTGACCCAACAAGCAATTGTTCTGTGACTCTGATTAATGGGGACAATGTCATTTTGACTATTTCAGAACCCTAACTTAGATTTTTAGAAATTCATGTCTTATTAGTTTTTTTTAATGGAACCATCAGCAAAATGTGCTTTATTGTGTACTATCCATGGTCTTTGTAAGCCTGTTTAAATGAAGATTTATTGATAAGAATTAGAATCTTTAACACCTAAATTAGATTATCTGGGTTCTTTTTTTCCAGTGCTATTATAGCAACTGACTTCTATCAAATATGTTCACAAAACTTCAAGGTTACAAGGAAGCTCCCTTAGTCAAAAGAAAGTGACTTTCCCTTTGTTACACATCCCAAAGTTGTGAAATATATTGTACCTGGTAGAGAGAGGAAGTGCATTGTGGAAAGAGTATGACTTTGAAGTAGAACAGATCCAAGTTTAAATTTAGACCTTTTATTGGCTTTATAAATAGCCATTTAGCTTTATAGCCATTTAACCATTTAGACCCCTGGTTTCTTAGTTTGTCATGTGTAAAACAGTACAGTAACTTCCTAACATGGTCACATAAAGGGAAGAAATGTAGTAACATGCCTAAATCACCTGGCACATAGCCAGGTATTTAACAAATGGAAGCTATGATTCTTAACTACAGTAACAGTATGACATGTAACCCTAGATCAAAAAATATGTACTACCTTACTTAGTCTTCCAAATTGTTTGAAACGACGGCAATAGCTCCTTGAGGACAAGATATTTATAGATGTATGCCAAGAAGGGCTTTCTCTGAAGTATTGTTAACTTAGGTTATGGGACAGTGGAAATAGCTCTGGAGCCCTGGCTGAACGGCTCCATCGGTTGGAGTGCACTCCACACACCAGAAGGTTGCAGGAGTGATCCCCAGTCAGGGCACATACCAGAGGCAACTGATCGATGTTTCTCTCTCACATCAATCTCTCTGTCTCTCTCCCCCTTCATCTCTAAAATCAATAAACATCTCCTCAAGTGAGGATTTAAAAAGAAAAGAAAATAGGTCTAGAACTTCAAGGTGGGGCCCTCAGTTGCAGTTCAGGTCCAGGTCCCTCACAGCAAGCAGTGTGGCTTGGTAACGCACTCAACCTCGAGTTTGTTTCCTCCTTTGAAAAACAAGGCAAGGCCCCCACATACCTCTGCTCACAAAGCCCTCTCCCACTGAACAGGGGTCTCCTGGTAAGCAGCTCCCAGGTCTTTGCATCCGAATGGACCTGCTCCTCTCATCTTTGCTACTAATGTCACTTTAGTGACACATCATTAGCAGTTGATGAGATGCTATTTATATTTTCTTTGCATTTAACCTTGTGTTGTTAATGCTCTGGGAAGCTGATTTGAAGCGATTAACAGTTTGAAGTTGAACATGATCTGACAACTGTGCTGTCTTAGCATAAGGATGAGAACCTCAGGTGAAAACATGCTGGAACCAGCACAACCCCCTTTAGAGCCAACAACTTCCCAGAGTGACAAAAAGTGAAAAAAAGCAACAAGGGAAAACAATACGTTTATTAAGAAGCATGAAAATGCAAAAACACATTTATAAATAAATGTAGTATAATTTACCCAGTGAAAAAATAGCTAAATTCCAGGAGTAAACTGGATTTTATATTTGAAATGATTACATATTTGATCTCTAATAATTTCCCCCTCCATCATAATCTCTTAGTAGCAGCATTTTACAATGATTGTAGAAAAAGCTGTTAACAATTATCATCATACAAGGGGAAAATTTTCAAGAATTTTCTTTAAAAATAATCCAGTGCAAACAAATTCAGATTACAAGGAATACAGTAAGACCTGGGCTTATCTTCAGAAAAGTAGAAAATAAAAATCCCAAACATTTATTCATTAAGAAATGAAAAGGCAAACTACATTTTGATCATTGAAAAATAATACATATGGCTATTATAAAACATTCTTAACCAGTGATAGCAATAATTACATTTATAAATGTTCATTCAAGTACTAGTATTCAATAAACATTCAAATTTCCATTAAAGTAACACCAGATACAGTCACGTGTGGGTGATACTTCTTTTTGATTTATTACTACAACAAAAATCATGTCAACAGGAAGCAAGCGACTCTTTAAACACTCTATTTTTTTAATCTGTAAATGATTTTCCATAGTCTGTATATTTTATCTGTGAGGACCCAAGGAACATTTTACAACAGCTAATTAAGAAGTCCTTTTTATAAAATAACCCTCGATACTAGAGAAACAAACATTCCCACACACATTTAGCTTTAAAAATAAAAATAACAGGGCAGAGTCAGTTTTCTTTGGCAAGAAGTTGTGAAATCCTTACCAAATGTTGGTGTGCTGTATAGTAAAGACACTATCAAAGCACTTCTTTGGCATTTACCAAAGAGCTATTTAATCAGCTGAAAACATTTCATAAACTATGGTACCATGATATTAAGGCAGACCTTATGTCAAAGTTGCACTGAATCAACATCATTTCCTTGATTACTGTTGTTAATGGGTCTTCCTTCAAAAAGCTCCCTTCTAATTTTGGCCTGAATCTCAGGCTTTAATAAAAGTTCTTTTATCTGTTTCACTTTGGACTTCAGAACCATTCTCTCTCGATGCAAAGCTTCCTTAATTAAGTCCCGGATTCCAATACGTCTCTTGCCTACAGAAAAAAAAATTTATGAAACATTTCATATACAAATGCCAATGAAAAACATTAAATGTGGCACACTGACTTATCAAAAGAGGATTAAAAAAAACCTTTAAAATGTTGCCCATGTTTTATAGAAAAGGTTGCATTTTGCCAAAAATATATTATTTACCGGAAACAAATTTGCTGTAAATAAAGATCACTCCATAGTGACAGCAGACATAGGACAAACACAAACATCATGGACTGACTATATGTCTAATCTCAACAGTAATTACTTTGAACTTAGCACTTGTTAGCTGTGTGTGCTGGCCTCAGATAAAGTAGTCAAATGTCCTGCTAAGCAATATAAACGGAAATATTCCAATTATGGTAAGGCCCTTCCACGGCCTTTGAGTCCATGAGGCATAACCCAAAGTCCCCTCTCCCCTGGCCATGGCTGAAGGCAAGTAAAAATTGGATCATTCTTCTTTCATAAATTAATTTCCTCTGCTAGTCCCAGCACTCCATTTTTCTTCTGTCTTGAGTTTCAGAAACGCAAACACATTGATCATGAAAGCATTAGGCAACCTCCACAGACGGGACAAGAGACACTTCAACAGCACGTTGCAAATCAGTCCATCGACTCAGCCGAGGGGGGCAGGGATGCTTCTCACGCAGTAGCGGGGCCTGCCTGCCTTTGGGTCTCATTTCCTGTCGTTGTCATTGTCAGTGCCATTCCTACCAGCCTCTTCCGTTTTCACAGAGTTCCCATCCCCTGGCTTGTTTTTGTTCTGTGTTTCTTCCAGATACTGCTGGACAGCCTTGAGCACTGCATTCTCCACCAGCCTCTTACTGAGCTTTACCAGTTCAGCATCATCAGGCTCACCTCCATTCTTATCACCTACATTCCACAACAGAGAAGAGAGGTCACTGAGATCATACTGCCACAGAAACCCAGCATGCATGGGCCGGCCAGTTCACTTAAAAAGGACAAATGCCCTTCAATCTGTTAAGTTAAATCTATAAATCAAAGAACACTGGCTTGGCTTTTCATGTGGAATTTGTAGACACAGAAGACTGTCTATTCCTGAAGACTTCAGGTTGAAAAGTAGTTCATAAGCCCCAATTTAAAAGTATTCTACCTGTAATGCTGAATTTTCCCATTTCTACGTGGAACTTTTGCTTTTCTCTCATCCAAGGCTAATTGCTGCTACTGAAGTTCATGTGCCCACCATCTGGAGCCGCAGACATGAATTCACCAACTAGATCTGTGTCTGCTTCTCCTTCTCCATTACCAGATGCCAGGGAATCAAGATTTCCCTATCAGCTAACTACTTTGGATCACTGATTTTATAGTGTTTGTCCTGTAGGTTGGTTGTTAACAAACTCTTAGCACTCCCATGAAGACAAAGACAGTTACTATGGCTAGGAACTGGTAAAAAAATAAGCTTGTAAAACTAATATTCTTTTTAATCTCAGTGCTATCACTAGAATTTATAAAATAGGAAACTTTTCAAGGAAGAGTTAGGCTTATGATAGTAAACAAGTAGATGTTGATATTTCATGGCCATTTTGTTTCCCTGCTAGCAATGATCAAGGTTTAATTACTCTCTTTATTTTACTGTAAAAGGGCCGGTTCTCATCTATTCTCATGCTATGCATTTCCCACTCACTCTCCTCCTTGTTTCCTTTCACTGAGGAAAAGCACAATGGAGCTCATCACTCATGTCCATTCAGTTTCTCAACTCTTTCCACTGAGCAGTGGACGCAGAAAGGCAGATGACTGGAGGCAAAGATATTTGAGCACCTAAATATCTTAAGCAAATACTAACAGACCTCAGAGGAGTTATAGACAGCAATACAATAATAGCAGGGGACTTTAATATTCCACTTTCAACAATAGATAGATCATCCAGACAGAAAACCAATAAGGAAACACTGGATTTGAACTATACTTTAGACCAAATAGAACTAACACACATACACAGAACATTCCATCCAACAGCACCATAATACACATTCTTCTCAAGTGCATATGAAATGTTCTCTAGGACAGACCATGTGTTAGGTCACAAAACAAGTCTCAGCAAATTTTAAAAGACTGAAATCCATACCAAGTATCTTTTCTGACCACAATGACATGAGACTAGAAATCAGTGTGATGAAAATTGGAAAACTGACAAATATGTAAAAATATATGTAAAAATTAAACGACACACTCCTAAACAACTAATGAGTCAAAATGCAATCAAAAAGAAAGTTAAAATATCTTGAAATAAACAAAAATGGAGACACACCATCAAAACTTATGGAATACAGCAGCAGCAGTGCTAAAAGGTAAGTTAAGAGCAATAAATGCGTGTATTAAGAAAAAAGTATAGTCAATAATATTATAATAACTTTATATTATAGTTACTAGACTTACTGTGGTGATTGCATCATAAAGTATATAAATGTCAAATCGCCACACTGTACCCCTGAATTTAATATAATATTTTATGTCAACTATACTTAAATTTAAAAATTAAAGAAAAAGATTTCAAGTTAATGGCCTAATTTTACATCTCAATGAACTAGAAAAACAAGAACTAAGCCCAAAGATGACAAAGAGCAGAAATAAATGAAATATAGATAGAAAAACAATTTTAAAATCAATAAAACTAAGAGTTTTTTAAAGACAAAATAAATAAAACCTTAGCTATACTTATCAATAAAAAAGATCAAGAACTAAAATAATAAAATTATAAGTAGAAGAGGACACATTATAACTGATACCACAGAAATACAAAGGATCATAAGAGATTACTATGAACAATTATATGCCAATAAATTAGACAACCTAGGAGAAATGGATAAATTCCTAGAACACACAACCTTCTCAGCTGAATCGTAAACAAATAGAAATCTAAACAGACCAATAACAGGTAAGATTTACTATTATCAGTAATTAAAAACTTCCCAATAAAGAAAAGCCCAGGGCAAGATGGGTTCATAGGTAAATTTTACCAAACATTTAAGGAAAATTAATGCCAAGCCTTTTCAAACTCTGCCAAAAAACTAGAGGAGAAAACACTCCCAAACTCATTTTATGAGGTCAACATTACCCTCATACCAAAGCCAGATAAGGACACCACAAGAAAAGAAAATTCTAGGCCAATATCCTCATAAATTTAAATATAAAAATTCTCAACAAAATACTAGTAAACCAAATGCAACAGAACATTAAAAGGGCCATACACCAAGATCAGGTAAGAAGTATTGATGGAATACAAGGATGATTCAACATATGCAAATCAATTAACATGATACACATTAACTCCAATGAAATAACAGAACTGTATTTTGGTCTAATCCTACTCTGCAGTCGCATAATCAGTGCTTCTGTGATTTCTCTTGGTCCACAACGAAGTATCCCTCTTACTTCAAACATTAAAAGATTTAAAACAGAAAAATCTTCCCATAGAAAGTTAATTTTCTTTTTTATGGCCAAGTAGTATTCCATTGTCTAAATGTGTCCCTTTGCAGTAGTATGGCTGCACCTGGAGAACACTATGCTGAGTGAAATAAGCCCATCAGAGACAGACAAATACCATATGATTTTACTCGTATGTGGAATGTAATGAACAAACTGAACTAATAAGCAAAACAGAGACAGACTCATACATAGAGAGCTGGACGACAGCTAAGGGTGCTGGAGTGTAAAGGGTGGAGGGGTGGAGCAAAAGAGAAAAAGGTCTCATGGACAAGGACAGCAGCAGCGTGGTGATTGTGGGAGGGGCTATAAGGGAACTAAATGATAATAGGCAAAAAGTACAAAGGAGATTAAGTCAAAAAAGGATTTAAAAAGTTATTTTTTTCTTTTAACTATTCTATTTGTTTATGCTTTTACTATTATCCCAAGTCAACTAAGCTCAATAAAAGATTGTAACCACCTTTGACTATCTCTCTCTTATCAACTCACTTAATCAAGTCTTATCTATGTGCACTTCTTCAATGCATCTGATACAACCTTTCTAGATTAATAGTTCTAAAATATCCCTTCTACTCTCCCTTGTCTTCACAAGAAAAATTAAATTTGTCTTGCAAGGCTTTCCAAAACTTACCTCTGACTATCACCCACCATTGCTACACTCCCATTGTCAGCTTCCAACATCTTCTCAGAAGCCTCCACACCATTCCCTATTTCTAGACGGCACTTCCTCCCTCTCATCAACTGAAATCCTACTCACGCCATAAAATCTTCCCTGACTAACCAGCTAAAAGTAATGAACTTCTACTTGATTCCAACAGCTCCGACTGCAAGTACAGTACATGGCCATTTGGCCATTCACTCAAATATTCACAGAGGACCTACTAGCTACACAGTTATTCTAGCCTATGGGGACACTGCAAAAAACAAAAATTAAGCCCATTAGTTCTCGTGATTTCTCACAAATTATAAGCATTATGTATTAATGCATTTATTAAAAAACTACTAATTCAAGTTTCTAAAGACACAGTAATCTTGAGTACAAAAACCATGTCCTAGGTTTCTCAATTATCTCCTACTCTGCTAATGCATGACACAGTTTACTGAACACAGGAAGGGCTCAACAAATATCACTCCATTAAGTGAACTGTTGATTAAAGTCCTTGCAGGCACTACAGCATTTTTAAAAATGTTTGTATCTTCCTATAAGGATAGCCCCCATGGCCAGAAATTTAGATTTAATATGAAACTTAAATCAAGAGCAAAGAACTCCAGAATAATTCAAATATCCACATAACAAATGTCCATCAACCTTGCTTGATGAACCTGATCACTATGCCAAAATATCCAGCCTAAGAGGCAAATACTAACTATTGGCTATAACAAACCAACATTAACCAACCAACAAAATAATAAAAAAATGTATAAATGAATCTTCCAGATCAGTACTAAATTCTAACTTCACCTTATGATTTCCACAAACATCCTTAGACTCTCAATGTTGGTGGACGGAAGAGTCTATCGGAAAGCTCAGAGCCCCACAAGAATGCAGCACATCAAG